GGATTATAAAAATTGTCAAATAATATAACATTAATTAGAAGTGACTCTAAAATTGTTTACCTGTAAAAAACATAAATAAATAATGTCTGGACACATCTGGTCTAGACATATGGCTCATGAGCAATGAATGTCTGACACCCTTTTGGTTTATACAAAAATAATATATTTACTATAAATTTCTAATGTATTACATATTTAAATAAATGTACAAATTTATGTAAATGTAGTTGTTCATGGTTATTTTATCTATTTTATTTACCATTAATAACAAACAAGCTATATTGAATTTCTTATGCAATAATTTTATTATATTATGAATTCTAATTTTAATTTTTTTAAAATTATATGAAAATGTTCATAATATATTTAGAAATAAATATGATTTTCATGATTACTGATAAAATATTTTATTGTGAATTATCATGAAAATATCATATAAATTTTTCTTAGCAATTAATAAATTATTAGCAATTAGATGTGTTAGACTCCCAGTTTTAAACATATTGATATCTAATAATTATTTAAAAATTATTATTAAAATGTCATATTCATATAAATTACCTTCGTGGTTTTCTACTGCCATAACCCCAAAATGATTCGTGATATGAGCGCCGCCACCACTGACTTAATATCGGTTCACTAGTTATTATAATCAATACGATTATGATCAATAAATTAAAAAAATTTTGAACAAAATTAATATTAAACATGTTTTTTTGTTTAGATTATCAATTCAGTTATTTATTAGATTTATATTTAAAAATACAAAATATATATAACTTATTATAAGATAAAACTATAATTATATTGCATTTGTAGCGATAGGATACTGTTGTTGGAAATGGATGTGAGATAATATATTTTCCTATGAATTGTATGTATTTTGTATAAAACTTTTTAAAATTTTAAAAATAATGTAACAATTATTTATCATTTATTCTACCTCATAGTATATAATTGACATTAACAAATATACATGTAAAAGTCATTTATAATAAATTAATTTTTAAATATTTTAAACACTTTTATCTTTTTTTAATTTACTGTTGATATCATTAATAACGGGTAAGTCTTCAGCCAATTGTATCCCATAATGTCTTGCATTTAAAGCACTGTTAGCTATGATTTTGATATCCGCACCGGCATCCTTAATGAATCTCCAGCCCAGGTATGGTAGCCTTAAAAGTTTAAATAAGTTAAAAATTATTTTCAAAGTATGTTTGAACTAATTATACATACCTTAATAGGAATGGAATGGGAGTATGTGGTTTAACACCACCTAGACCCTGTTCACTATAATCCCTAACCCACCATTGAAGTGTATTTACGATTATAACCTGGGACGAACATATTAATAATGCTATAAATATTTGAAAACTTTTATTTATTTTCATTTGTAAATAATTATTACAAACAGTTTCTTTACATATAATAAAGTTATATTAATACTATTTATTTGACATTTTATGACATAAGGATGTATCTAAAAAGTATATAAAAGGTTTGAAATCCTTTATTTCATATAAAAAATATTTATTTTGCTAAATAACTTATATTTTAATTTTACATTTTAAGTTTTTTATAAAATGTTTTATTTCAACGGATATGATAGACTAATATTAGCATAATTGTTGTACTAAATAAATACTAAATAAATTTACGTGTTTAATTATTTGTTTTATTTTATGATTATTAAAATTATATTGCACAAAATATTATAATTTACTTTGGACTAAATTGTACATACTGAATTATGTTGGCCATGTTAGTAGTTTGATTTTCAAGCAAATCATCCTTGAAAACAGAAAATGTAATCCATATGAGAGACGATTTATTAAAAAGGATACATTGAAAACCCATTTAAAGCTTTAAAACACATGTAAAATATACAGAGTTTACAATCTTATCTTGCTCACACATTACAAATATATTACTTTGAATGACTAAACTGCGATTGAAAAGCTTTTGCTTATAATTACTAAGCACTCAATGAATGTTCATTGTACCCTTTTTAATAAATCGTTATTCATATGATGATTGTCAAAGACCAAGATTTTTACGTTGGGTAATTGTTTTGGGATATTGATCCTTTTACCAGCATAATATATTTGTTTTCATATGCTACTGTATAAGAAACAAATTGTGAAAAATATTTCTGTTCCGTATTAAATTAATCGTGAATTAGTTTTTAAATGGTTTATCATTTTTTCCTTAATTTTAATGTTAACACCTTTAATATTAATTAATTCATATTTAATTAAAGTATACATTGTTTTACAAGTTTACAAAATTATTGTTGGCAATCAAACACTTATTATTATTATTAAATTATGTTAAAAAATAACAAGGGTTATGTTACATAACTTATGTAAATTAATATTTATTATAATCAAACTTTAATTGAAACTTTAGAGAGAGAGAGAGAGAGAGAGAGAGAGTAAATAATTGACTAATAATCAAGTTGGTAATTTTTATACAATGATAAATCTTTATACCGCGTAGCTATAGATGACCAGTATAAATTACCTTTAATAAGCCAAATCATGTCAATTACATATCTATCTAGCAAAGGGATTTTGTGAACTTTCAAATTATCACCATACTTAATGGCCATGCTCATTGCCTTATAAATTAATGATAAAATTTTATCAGCCGCTGTCTGAGCGTTACAATTATCGCTATGCATTATGATATAAATGAGCGTAAATTTTCCCTGGTGCTGCAATATTTCCTTCTTTGATGAGAAAATATCATTGGAATAGTAGAAGTGTTTAGCACACCAGTCGTTAAATAGTCTCCAATCATCACTGTTGACAACATCAGGATAATTAGCAGGGTCAAACTTTAGATAACTAAAAATAAACATTTGCATGACATCGTAGCCAATATCAATGGTCCTATGTTAAAATATTTACATAAACTTTTTTAATCAAAATATCTTGTGATATTATATTAATTAAACCACTATACTCTGGTTTTATATGATTGTATTGTTTAATATTATAGCAGTTACTTGAAAGCAAAGTTAACTGGTTCATTTCGTATAGTTTCCACACAAATTACTGATTGAAATATACTTTACCTAATTTTATGGTATTCATCGAGTGTTTGACTATCATTACCCTCCTTAATTTGTTTTGTCGTATAATTTAAATCGAGGTACTTCATATACCAATTGTTATGTACTTGGATTAATTTCGGAGTGAGCACCTTGTTCATCAAACCTCGCATAACATTGAAAAATTTATCCAGAAAACCCGATTCAGTTGAGTAGCCTTGGTTGATAATTACTCTCCATTTTCTAAGATTTAAAATGATAATAATAATTATTATTAAACAATATACAAAAATCCATTAACACTTACTCGATAAAATGAGCCTGGTTAGTAGTTTGCTTATCTAAAAAATCATCCAGGAACAACGCCCATGCATTCCATTCGTTAATTACCATTAACTCATCTTGGTTAGTTATATTAGGGAACGATAGGGTCACTCCATCCGACATTTCCTGTATATCTTTATGAGGCTTTCCCATACACTCACTGATAATGGTCTCCAACAGTGCCTTAGCGTTGGGCACATGTATGTTATGCTCAGTTACCTCGATATTAAGACCACGGACTTCGAAATCCATAATCTTATCGTTCATATCATTTCTATACGAATGAATAGAGTTTTCATTCATTTGAGACATATTTTACTAATTAATTGTATTTAATTTAAATATTAATAACTCAATATTTAAATAACTGTAGTAACGTTAACCTATGTTTTACTTATGACAGCTCGGTAACGATGTTAATCACTGAATAAGACTAAAATACCGTATAAGTATTATATTTATAGTTTAATAAGTTAACTAGTTTTATGTTTTTCTATATTTATTAGGTTGTTCATAAAATGTGAGTAGTTTATTATTTATAAAATAGTTAAACTTTGATGTTTAATGTGGTATTGATATAATGGTAAAGGTAACAAATGATTTAAATAAAAATTAATTAAATTGTCAACAATTTATTAAGACCATTTTAAATTAATTTTATAAATAATTATAAACTTATAGTATTTAAAAATTATATTTATTTATTATAGTGGTTTAAATGTATTTTTATATAACATAGTATAATAGGTTATTAAATTATTTTTTTAGTTATTATTTCAAATTTATTCTTTCAACCTGTATAAAATATTATTTAAATAAATAAAATTTTAAGTAATGTTAGAATATCATATAAAAAATATCTTAAACTTTTTATTATAGAAAATAACATCTATTATATTATATTGTAAAATTTAATAGTTATAAATTACTTTTTAGTTTGTTTAAAAGTAAATATATTAATATTTGATTTTCTAAAAATATGTAATTTATAAATAATTTTTATAAGATTCTTTTGAGCAATGTAATATTAGTACATATTATAAAATTCTAAATATATATTTGTATATTTAGAATAGTATGATTTAATAGGTTATTTTTAATGTGTTTGTTAAATATGGTGTGATATTAATAATGAAATAAAAATACTTTTAAAATTATAATATTCATATTATATTATATACTATTTATAGTATTTTAATTCAAATAATAAGATTCATTATTTAAGATTAGCAGAAATCAAAACTTTTATTAATTATAATACAATATGTAACCTTAAAATCTGAAATAAATGTAAGGTAATTAGATTATTTTAAGATTATTAAATATTATATTATATGCCCAACTTATTTACATCATAAATATTGATCTATACCTAATGCAATCAAATAGTTTAATATAGAATATTTGAAACTTTTAACTCAAACATATAAATACAAATTAGAAATGAATCAATAATTTTATAATTGTCTCATAATAACATTCTACAACCATAATACCTATATTATCTAACTTTTATAAAAATTTAATTTAAAATATCTTAACACACATTTTTAGTAAAATAATTACAAAAATATGTATTAATTGTTTTAATCACATTTTTATAAAATTATTTACTTTATAACAAGAGACATTCTGACTTAATATTATAATTTATAAGTCTAACAAAACTTGATAAAAAACATTATAATTGTCAATTATTAATTCAATATCAATTATAGTTAAAAGTGTATCAAACTTAAAATTAAATGTTTGTTTAATGCTAGTTTGTTGCAATTTAGTTAAACATATTTTTAATTATTTTTAAAAAGTTTTTTAAAACATGATAACATCATATAAATTTTTAATATGCCAGACGTTGTAAAAATAATAAATTATATTAAACATTTTTAATGTCTACTATCAAGTATAAAAAAGTTTTTAAAATAAACATAGTCTCGCCAAACAATAATTATAATAAAA